GGGGGGAGGCGGCTTATTTATTTTTTGGCTTTCTAACGCTATCGGCATTTCTGATTATGCAGCACAGGATGATGAGAATTGGAAAGGATATGTAAGGAATCTGTTATGACTTCATGTGAGTTATAATCCCACCATTTTACTGAATGGTCTTGGGAAAACTACGAACAGCTTCGATTAGAATAGCCTGTCTCCAGGACGAGATTTGAACCCGGTAACTATCGAATATAAAACAGGAGTTCAGTTTGTTTGGCGGCCTAGGTCCTGGGTCAGGGTACTGTGTTAAGTTTATCTCTTGTCACCATACGGCATGTCCTCTGATGAGGAGCCCTGGTATGCAGAATTCTGAATGAACAACAACGGACAGCCGGTAAGGACGAGATGTTCCAGCTTCCGGGTTGTCATTTTACGAAATATTACACACGACCTCGGTCTTGGAATGATTCTTTAGTAAGGGTTGGGACGAACAGAACTGTGTAGTAAACCTTAGGGTTTCATAAAAAGAGATGAATTTCTTGAGTTTAGCGCCTGTTAACTTCTCAGTAATAGATGTGCTTTATGAAAGTAGACCATAAAAGCCGGTGCCCGATGTTATTCGAACAAACTACACTTTATATCAAGTCAAATGCGTTGCCGCACTGATAATCGGCACGTTATAAGCAAAGAAAGCAATCAGTTTTGCCATATCCGTGCATGTAACAAGCTTGGAGTGTGTATCCTGTTCCTGAACACACAATATCCTCGTGCGGTTTTTGCAACGTGCATTTAGGGGCAGTAAATCCGCCTTGTTCATTTAAAAGTTCGCTTTTGAGGTCGTGCAGAATAACAAAACCTCCACATCAAATTTCAGCAAAATCCGTCCAGTAGCTCTCGAGTAGAATCGACTGGACAGACGGACGGACGGATAGACACGATCAGCCCATAATGCGTTCTCGCTATGCACTTCGACTAAAGAACTCATAAAATGACATGAAATTATATAAGTAATGTAGTGTTAAATTTCAGTGTCTCCACAGACACTTATTTTATTACAGTATCACCGAGTATGACGCAACACATGACTTATTTACTGCATGTTTACTGAAGGACGACAACTGCACAATTGTTGATCTCGATATACGATCGTTCGTAATAATCGAGTTTTAAAATTACGATGTAGATTCTTTACTTTTGGGCCAATTACATAAGGCGATGACTCGACAGCGTATGTAGCACGCACAGGGAAGATGAAACCAGAAGTGACGATTACACTAGGCGTGGATAGCTGGATAATACTTAAATGAATTTTTAAGAAGTAGGGTGTAAAGTTAATTATTGGATTAAACTACGTTTTGATAGGTCCAGCCCGTTGTCTCTTAGATTGCAATATCCTGACAATACAAAATGGCCTGCATAAACCACTAAGTTTTTTTGTATACAATTACAAATTTCTCGCATAATTCAACCCACTTAGGTTCTGAGACCTTTGTATTCAAGATATTTTATTTGTTCGTCACTCAAACTGAGAGAAACGTTTCATACCCACAAGAAACAATTGAAAACATTCGGGCACAGTACACAATTACAGGACTTTATAAAACTACATAGATCCTTTTACGCGAAGGTAAAACTTTTCAAGCAGAAGTTGTAGATGCAGAATAAAAGATTATGTGCCTTGATTACAAACAGTAAAATTTTCCAGTCAATTTGGCAGCGCTTACCTGTGTACCTCCACGTGGGTGCGTTGCAGCGTATGATATTTTCCGTATTCGTGAGAAGTGATAGGGGCAGGCCGCCCGACCACCAGTTAAATAGTGCGAGCTGATGTAACTGCCCGTCTGACGACACCAGGGACAGTATTTACACGACTGATCCCATTGGTAGTGACCATCTATACTGCCTTCCCATTGGTAAATGCAGTCATGTGACACGGAGGATTTTCTGTCTGCAACGGGGAAAGTCCTCAACCTTGAACCTGACGAGCAAGTGGGTGAGGTTCTGACTTCGAAGACCAGGTCAGGTGTTTAATTTCACTTGAATCTATAGTCGGATTATTGAACAGGGAGGGGAGCAGGGTTCTCGAGAAGCTGATAGGCAATCAGGTGGTCAAGATATTCCTTACACTATAAGAAACCAGAAGATTCATTACCGTGCTCAAAACAGCCGACCACCAGTGTGCTACAATCAGGTGATAATCAATTTCAATATCAATAATTATCACGACCACTTCCTCTTCTATTTTTCTATATATAACCATTACACATAATGATTCCCTCGTCTCATTCCATGTTAAATAACATTTGTGAGCGATACAGAGTCGTTAAATACAACGAACTGTTAATGATCGGCGATAGAGAGTCGGATAATGGTCTTCATATAGTAACTTTTGGATTACGGTATCGTTTTGGAGTGATTCACTTTATCCCAGAATAAATTTGGACTAACTCCATGGAGCAGAGTTCTTGCTGAGAAGCTAACAAACACTTAGCTGGCCAAAACATTCTTCGTCCTTTATGGAATCCGAAGATTCAGTGCTGTGTTTATAGGATCTTACCACCGGTCCGTATCCTGAGCACCATGAGTCCGGTACACACCCACCTCATTTCCATCAAATCCATTTTAATATTATCTCCAATCTATGCCGAGGTTTTCCATGTGGTCTTTTCCATTCAGTTTTACGACCAGTACTTTTACGCGTGCGTTATATACATGTCATTTGATTTGATATTAATAATGCCTGATGAACAGTATAAATTATGAAGTTTTTCATTGTTTCTATAGTATGGAGGGTAGCTGCAAATATAGTGAATAAACAGTTGCTGACAGCCGACAATTGGTGATTACCCAGCTTGGGAGTTTGGGCAAGGGCTAACATTCCACACACGTTACATCTGGCCTTGGACACTTTTTAATGCGCCATTTACTAAAAATTGCTCTAATAAGATATTTTTATTGTGTTGGTAATGCAAAATAACTCCAAGCAAGAGCTACATCAAACTATGAGGGGAAGGGAAGATGGAAGGGGCAAGGGGGAACAAGAAGTCAAAGAGTGTCTGATGGCCTTTTGATACACCACGTATTCAGTTCGATATATTTTGTGGACCAAAGGAAGGAAAAAAATTTAGCAATGCAGGCGCAAGCCTTATTCTAACGCGATATTTGTACGATCTAAATAAAATAATTTCACATCCGATAGTACAAGGAAGAACTAATTTACTGTGTTGTCGGTCCGCGTTCTTTCCCACGTGTGTGTATTCTTAACGGTCAACAAAGCGCGGGGTTATTTTGCGTCCATTGTATTGAAGAAAGTCTTTACATGCTCAGTGGTATTTCCTGTATGGTCTTTGATAGGTTCTTTAGTTTCTTTCTATCGCATCTTTATGTAAATGACGCTGCTTTAAGACACAGTTTCGTCAGTGTTAGTTAATTTCTTGGTTATCCCAGATACGCAGATCGATCTTCTTAACCTCATTTTACTAGTCGAAGGCAGCCGAGAACTCTTGTTAGGCGCAAGTAAGGGAAGGTTAATAGTCTGTTTAGTTTGTACAACCATATTTTACAGTGCTGCCAACATCAGTGCCGAGGTAAACTAAAATTGTATTTACCATTTTTGCGAAAAGGCATTATGCTTATACGTTTAACATTTAATGCTTGAACAATTTTTGTTTGAAATACTCAAGGTACGAGACCACTTGAATATTTGGACTTAAGTGGGGGAGGGATGGAGAGATAATGTCAAAATAGATGGTTGAGAAACAGATTGTAAAGACGTCAAATGGATAGTAATGGCTAAGAATAGGATCCAATAGCGGGCTTTCTAAATTACAATTAATCTTCTGGGCAAAGAATAACATGTATCATGTTGTTCGTTGTAATCAGAGTTGAACCCATGATCGTAATCTGACAGGGAACCACAAAGTATCACTGGGAAAACATTAAGAACCTTTATGAAGATAATTTAGTTACTGACCCCTCCCCACTGTTGTTACTTTGACGTCAGATTTTTTAACTCGATGGAAATAGCTTATCACCAATTCTTATCACCACCAGTCTTCCCATGACTTAGTACATGCTGAGTTATACAAGTTTGTTCTTCAGGCAAAAAGCCAAGCTTTCTACGTGTGTTTGTGTACTGGTTAAATTGCTAACTCGTTTTTAACCATAAGAACTAAAGGATCTGAGTGGTATATTATGTAGTTTACTGCTGCCACACCATACAGTACCTCTCTTATAACTGAATCATGTGCCATCCTAAAGCCCACAGATAGTTCGTGTATACTCCCATTTTTTCTTTAATATTAGTCGAATGCAAAAGATCTGGTCCATGGTAGACCTATTACGGCGAAATACGCATTGATTGTCCCCGACGGTTTCATTCATAAATGGCGGTAACCGCGAAAGAAGAATATTCAATAAAATTTTGTATGACGTTGACAAAAGAGAGATACCTAGGAAGTTACTGCACTGAGTTTTGTCCCCTGTTTTATGGATAGGGACAACAATTGATTCTTTCCACTATTCTGGTAGTGCTCCCTGGTTCCAAATCGAGACTATAAGTTTATGTATCTCTGAGTGCAGTTTCCTACCACGTGCATGAATTAATTCCTCTGGAATTGAGTCGATGCCTGGAGATTTGTAACGTTTTAATTTTACAAGGGCAATTTAAACTTCATTACGGCTCGGTACCGGGATGAAGGGCTCTGCTATATGTACTTTAAGCTTTCTTGATAATAAGGAATTAAAAATACAAGATTTGGATAGCCTCCAATGCCATAACTTTGCTAAAAATGGTTGAAAGGTTAAAAGGACACACACAGAGCCAGTATGGTGATCTCATAAACCAGCTGTTTATTAAGGTAGAAAAGCAGATTAGAACCCTGTCGACGGTGTTTACAAATAATTAACGAAAAAGACGAATTAGTAATTAAAAGTGATCAGGACTTATGGTAAATAAATCGCCTCAACCCAACAGCTAAAAATCTCTGACAGTTATTTTTAGTTATTGTAAATGATTACGTGTATGACAACGAACCGAACATGTGTTAGGAGATTTAAATTCAAGAGACTGGTTGTTTCGTAGGAACTTCCTTGATATTTTCGTGCTTCCAAAGACTGACTTTTTTAACACAATGTAATAACACGTTCGTAAAGGAAGTGAATGCAAATGATCGATATCAGGAAAACCAATTTGTAAAAAACAAAAGAAAAGATGAATGGACACTGAATTGAGCGCGCTCCATCGCGTGTCGGTAAAAAAGTGGGAATATTTTGTCACTGTACAACAGCAAATGCACAGAAGATGGCTGTTTTCTGGATAGTAACTGTTGCAAAGTAAACTGGGTTTATAAGTGTATTTTAATGATGTAACGCGTATTTACGCCTGTCAATTGAAGAAACTATTTGGGTTTTGAACATTGTTAATCGGTCGTTTATAGAAGTGCATTAGGCGTGGGTCATTATGGTGCCTTAACTTTAATTGCTGACAAAGTAGATGTCGGAGATCACTAACTCTGTGGCGCGGAAACTCGGTTGGCCTTCATATGTTCAATTAATTCCCAATTGTAACTATATGTGTCATCTGCTTTAACAAATCTTTATTTTGAAAAAAATGAGTTTAACATGAATTCTGACTGTAAGCAGGAATTGTTTGCTTAATAAATATTAACAAGCTGATATTTGTAATTGTGAAGTGTTTAGTTTTATATTCGATATGGATTGAATTCTTAAATATTATTTAGAGAGGTTCGGCTTCAAAGAGTGCACCTCCTGAGGGGGTATCTTGAATTTTGTGTGAATGTTAACGTTATCTGATTCTTTTCTGGTTGCCGGTTATAGTGACCAAGTCATTTTGTGGTTTTTGTCAGTGTTTCCAAGCGAATGCCCCCGATACGTCTGAAATAAGCCACGGCCGCCTGTTTTGTATCCTTGGCTATGGCCATCGTCTTTCTAATTATGTTTCTCAAAAATATTATTTATTTTCCATGTCTCTTTCTAGGTGGTTTGAAAGAAATAGTTACAAAAATGTTCCTGTTAACTTTACCATGTCTCTTTTTTCGCATGTGACAACTGAGAAAAACCAAACAGATTTTTTGAAGTTCTATACTGGGAATTCTTACTAAAATTTGTTTACCGGCCAGTTTTAATTAAAATGTGACAACAGTAACGGACGCTTTGCGAGAAGTCTCGCAGATGACTGGATGGGGAATCCCCATAACCTTGTTACCATTGTTGCTTTGGACAGATGGTTACGTTACGCATACTTTTCCTAATTAATTTACGCACATTCCTTACAGATCAACGCTGTAAATGTCAATTAGAACAGCAGAATAATCTTAAACTAATGTTATTAATGGGAACTGATATAGTACAATATAATGTAATATTATAATGTAGGAAGCATGCCTACAGCTGTATTTGAACAGTACCGTTGTGTATAAAATATTGAACGTTGTTAGAAGTTATAACATTTCTTTTATATGGAATTTTTGTGAGCATTTCATTTGGAAAAGAAAAGTTAATATGCCTAAATACTTTCGAAGTTCATGGGCTCGAACCAATTAATGATTAAGGAGATTTTAATAGAATCGATAGTCTGATCGAAAAATAGAAAGAAACGATACAAGCCCCATTTAATTCTTTTTATATGTTTGTGATAAAAATTAGAATGTGCCCTTACAATCTTGTAAGTTCCCTGCTATATGTCTTGTTATTCGTTACCATGTAACAGAACTTCGTAAGCTTGCCACTTGTATTTTCCACTCGTAACTCTTAACACAGTCAATATGTCAGAAGTTTCCTCGATCACCTGGTGAGAACACTTAGACGATTCATGAGGACGGAACACGTCAGGT